TTTAGCCGTGATTATGGTCTTGAATTCCTCATATGCGTTCATGATCATCTCCTGCTCGTCAGCGGAGTAAAAAGAGGCTCTTTCTTTGACTTTATTTAACATTGTGCTGTTAGAAAATCATGGTTTCGGTGATCGACGCTTCCCCCTTTTGAAGTAGGACGGGCACGCGCAATTATCCTGATTACTGAAGTCTGGTTCGAATTAACGAGACTGTTTGAGAGGATCAGCCTTGGAGGAACCGAGATAGCCTGACATCAATCATCTCGTTAATTTAGGCTGCTAACAGGACATTTGATCGACTTAGTTGAACCACGTACGAGGAACGGGGCCCTGGTGAAAATAGAGTGCATCAGGATAGAAGTGTGTGTTGTTGTAGTACTCATGTTTGGCCACTAGAGGCTGAAGTGCTCCGCCCCCTCGTGTTCTAAACAGAACTGAAAGCTTCATGTCTTCTTCAGGTGAGACTTTAATCACCGCATGCTCTCTAAACACAACGTATTCGCGTGAGTAGATTACGTACGAAGTCTCCGCACAGACGCAGTGAGACTGGAGTGACGCAGAATCAGGAAACAAATACTGTAGTCGTCTGTGTTCACCCAGAGCTCATATCAGTGGAGACCGGACTATGTGTATAAATGTGTGTAAACCAGATGGTACAAACAATGAATCGACGCTGCTGCATTTACGTCTAGATGTCGTTATTTTGAGTGTTGATGGAGCTGCTACAACATTTTAAAGTCGTTTGCTTGTCGTCTTGTTATGATGTCATGAACCAGACAAGACGGCGTTTAGTTTCCCCGAGATCTCTGGGACTTCCACAACAAGTACTGAGCAGAAATACAGGTTCTTCCATGTTGGAGGAAATAAAGGGCTCAGTTGATAACGGCTTCCATGGAGTTAAGCCACGCCCCCTCTCCGGCACATCTAGCATAAATAACCACAAATGGTCCCACGAGTAATGCCGCGTTTGGTGTGAACACACCGTTATGCCATACAGATTGTAAATGTGTGAGGCGATATATATAAAATTGAGTTTAATAAATATATTGTGTGTAACTGTGTTTTAAATCGTCTCTAATCTGCCGTGAGGAACACATGAAGCTTTGGTTCTGTTTAGAACATGAGGTAGTGGAGCGCTTCAGCCTCTTGTGGCTGAAAGGAGTATTACAACAACAAACACTTGATCCTGTTTTCAAAGATGAAAATAGATTTAAGGAACTTAGAATATGTTATCCTGGCAGAATGTATTTTCACCTGTTCTTATGTAACACAGAAGAAGAAACATCTTGAATCAGACTCCTGGATTCTTGCCTCTCAGGGCTTCCATAGTTTATCCTAATTATAGAAAATAGTTGGTTTGAAGTGCAGTTTTTAGGGATAGAAGAGAGAAGGAAAGTTGAGGAGTGCTGTTTGTCAGGTGATGACATCATGAGGCGTTCACTGACCCTCAAACAGCTCAGTGTTGTCGATCTGACCGGGGAAGGAAGACGAGTTCTGGTCTCCGGTCTCCACGAACTCCTTCCACTGTTCATACCAACGACGCTCCATCACGTACCTGCAGCGCGTGCGCGCACACACACACACACACACACACACACATTAATACCACACTCACACAACGACCTGTTGTCTCTGAATGGTCTGATCGACAGGATATTTATTACAAGGATTCACATTAAACTATTAACATTAACTATAGATTGATGAGTCATTCAGAGCATTGTGTGGTTCTGTATCATTTTAAATCAAATGTCTTTGGACAACACGAGGCTCAAAGAAGATGTCACTCTTTTCACCATTTAAATAAACTTTCTGTAACAAACAACAAAGAAACCGATGAATGAATAATGACAACAGCCTGAGTCTGCAGCAGCGTGCTGGTGATCTTGTTATGACTCAGCCTGATATCAACCTGTTGTACCGACGGCTTCACCAACACTGAACTCAAACCAGAGCAGGAAACCTTCCAGCTGATGAACGTGACGCTGTGCATCCTGTCAGTAGTGTTTGGAGATGTAATGATAGTATACTGTGTATGTATGAAGGCTTAGGCCTTTGTTCTTCATGTTCCAGATCAATGAGCAGGACCGACTTACACTCATTTGGGATTTTAATAGAATGTTTGTTTTACGATGAAGTTCCATTTGTTTCACATTTAATTAAATTCGTCAAAAATAGATATTTTTATGCATTCATGATTCCTCCATGGATTTAGGGCTGCAGCTCACTGTTCTTTTCATTGTCCTTCAATCTATTTTGTATTAATTACTGGTTAATAAAACGTCAGAAATCAGTCCCAAAATGTCCGTTACGATCTCCTAAAGCCCAAAGTGACGTCAACACGCGGTCTGTTTGTTTATGATCAAATGAGACAGAGTACAACTGATAATCCTCAACTTTAAAAATGTCTTTAACAACGAATCAATTACCACAAACAGCTGCAGATGTGGATTTAAAAAACACATTGTGGTTTAACGATCACCGAACTCTAATGTTCAGCTTATCAATTAATAGACAAATCATTTCAGCTGGACTCCACAGAGGCTAACCCTCATGTACACAACAACACGAGTCCAAACTATGTCACCACAACAACAACACCACCACCTCCTCCTCCTCCTCAGCATCACAGTGTTTTCATTTACTTTAGTTTGGATTTGATCCGTCTGTTGAGACTCAAACATGAAGACGAGCAGCTTTTTATACACAAACAGGCAAACCGTCACAGAGACGCACAGCTGGTCCACAGATCCAATCTAAAGCACTTCAGTTTTAGTTTCACTTCATTTCACTGAGAGTGAGTCAGAAGACTTCTTTCCTCTGTTCTGGACCTCATTATTATTTGAACAGTCTGACAGATAAACACTTTGCTGAAAAACAAAAAACAACAGCTTATTTTTATCATCTATCAATCTTTCCATCTTGTTCTGTGCATCTGGTTTCCTGTAACCATCAAAACATGTGTCTACAATCTAAATCACACACATCAAAGATGATACAAACAAACAGCAACACCAATATTATAACACCTTGTATCATCTATAACACTGTGCTCATGTCTAGTAAATGTACGGAGGCGTTTATTCTGTGATTCATAAAAGTGTTGACGGTGAACAGAAAATAAAAGAAAGAAGGAAAAACAAAGAATAGAGGCGATAATAGAAACCTGTCAGGTCATGTTTACACTACAGAATATATTCTGTTCTTATTTAGGACAAAATCAGCGCCACGTTTAAAGACAAGAGATCACACTTCTATGATATCTTTAAACTAAATCATCTTTTATCCATTTATAACCCTTCTACTTGTAGTGTAGTATTTCTACAGGGACGTGTAAATACTTGTACTACAGTAAAGGTTCAGAATACTTCTTTCATCTCTGCCTTCACCTCTTAATGTGAAATGTTAAGAGGAAGAGGAATACATTTGGGACGAATTTTGCACCTTTTAATTTCAGAGATTTCCAATATAACCCAGATTCATAACAAAACGTATTCAAATGAGTGGGGTTGCATAAATTAGCTTAAAATAATTTATATATTATGGACAATCTAATACTAAGACATATAAGTAATATCAATCAATCACAATAAAATAAAAAAACATAAATAAACAGAATGCCAGGGGATAATATACATACACAAAAAAACAAAAGCGGAAGTTTACGAGTCAACCCTGAACGTCTCATCCCAAACTGGTTGACAGGCTAGCGTTAGCATCGACGTGCTAACAGTCAGTTACCGACGTCTGTCTGTCTGGTTAGCGCGAGCTAACATAGAACACAGAGTCGTTAAAAACGGCCCCAACAATCTCACACCTACGACACGTGGCGACTCGACTCTGTCGTTGATAACCATTAATAGCCGTTAGGTAACAGTTAGCCGTGTGATGCTAACAGCTAGCCCTGTCACTGTGCGTGTGTGTGTGTGTGTGTGTGTGAGAGAGAGAGAGACTCTCACCAACTGTCCCCAGCGCGGAGCTCACACTCCCGCAGCAGAGACTCGATCTCCCGCCGCTGGGTCTCCAGGCCCGGAGGCTCGGCGGCGGAACAGCGGCTGTTGGCCGTCATGACGTGTTTAAAATCAATCACTCATTAAATGTCGGAACTGTTAGAATATGTAAATAGAGTAAAGAAAGGCAGAAGTCAACCACCGCATTGACCAACCGATAAAACGGGGAAACTACACGGAGCTGTTGTGTTTGCGGAAGTAGGAAGTGGTTCAGAGTAGGGCGATGACGACTTCCGGTCTGAGGCCTCCGCGCGCTACATCCGTATCTAGGTTCTCTCTATACATCCATGGTAAAAAAAATAATAAAGAAAATAATAAGAAATGATAATAAAATGTTTAAAACAATTGTAAATCCACGGTTAAAATAAATAAATAATACATTCATGGTCAAATAAATAATACATACATAAATAAAAAAAATAAAAAATAAAAAAAAATATGCATCCATGGTGAAAATAAATACATAAATAATTGATAAGAAAAAAAATTTGTAATTTCTACATAAAATAAATGATAATTAAAAAACAAATGTATACATCCATGGTAACTACACTAGGGGGCGTCCTTCATCTGAAAACATGTATTAAAAACATTAATATCCATATTTAACATGCTTATTACTGGTGGAGTATTTATATCCTTTACTTTAGTAAAAATACTAATAATGAATAATAATGAATTTACAAACAAGGCAAGTTTAACATTGTGTGAAAGTCCTTATGTGTCTGAGTAGTAAAATATATATCAAATATCTAATACACTACCTAAAATAAAACAATAACAAATAAGAAAGTAAATTAAAGTATACACATTGTAGTTAATAAAATAAATAAATAGATATAAATGGTGTTCAATTTAAATTAAAGATTAGTAAATTCAAGCACTATTCGTTAAACAGTCTTCTTCCTCTACTTTCTTTTGCAGCTTTTAATTTCATATATTTCATATATTTCCAATACAACCAAGATTCATACCAAAACTTATTAAAATTAGTGGGGTTTGCATGAATTAGCTTGAAATAATTTCTATATTATAGACAACCTAATACTAAGACATATAAGTCATATCAATCAATCGCAATAAAATAAAAAATAAAATAATTAAACGTAATGCCAGGGGATAATATATATGTATGTATATGTATATGTATATTTCATTTCATTTTATTTTTTATTTATACTAAACTACGAGACATCCTGATCCACACTCCAGACCAGTTGGTAGCGGTAATGCACCAATTCATTGTTTGTCAACCGCCAATAAACCTCAAAAGAGAAGAAGAAGAAACGCTCCGGCCAATGAGGCGTCAGTGTTTGCTGTCGCGCGGTTGCCAGGGAGGGAAAAAAAAAAAGTTCTTCGCGGGCTCTGAAAGACAGAAACAAACATGGAGGTGGAGATGATGGAGCCTGAATGTGAGCAGAAAGAACCGACAGAGAGCGGGCAGAAGGCGGACACGGGAGCTGGAGAAGCGTCGGTTAAAAGCTCCGGCGGCCATTACGAGCTGCCCTGGGTGGAGAAGTACCGACCGACGAAACTCAGCGAGATCGTCGGGAACGAGGAGACCGTGAGCCGGCTCGAGGTGTTCGCGCGAGAGGGAAACGTACCCAACGTCATTATCGCAGGTCAGTGAGGACCGAAAGGACTCAACTAGTTTACTTTATACTTTCATTCATTATCCTGACACATTAAGCTTAAGTAAAGGGTGTTCAGAAGTACTTTTACTTCATATTACTTCAGTTAAAGTAGTAATGCCACAAGTGTAGGAATACTTTACTAAAAGTACAAGCATTCAAAATCACACTCGAGTAAAATTATTCGCATTTTAAGCACAAATAGTAAAAGTACTCATATAATATAATAATATTGTTTCACAATTATTGATGCATTTGTGTTCATCGCTTTATTGTTGCAGCTTGTTTATAGACTAACAATAAAATATTTTATTTTTAGTCTATAATAATACATCATATTTTTGTAATTAGTATTTTATTTTTAATAAATATTGTCATATTTCGGTCAACAAATCAAATGACTCCTTTTATTGAAGAATGAATAAAAACACACAGATGTATATTTCTACATTAATATGCACCTTGATCTAATACTTTGTGTACATGTGTACACATTAACAGTGTATTTCTAGTAGTATCACTACTAGAAATACACATTAACAGTGTATTTCTAGTAGTATCACTACTAGAAGTTAGTTTGTTGTGATTTTACCAACTCAGTAAACCATCATTTATATTTTGTATTAATAATCTAAATCTGCAAAGTTAGCTAGTGCAGTAAAAAGTACAAGACAATGGAAATACTCTGTATTGTATAAAGTACTTGAGTAAATGTACTCAGTTACTTTCTTCCACTGAACTGAAAATAAGCAGAAGTCTGTTTTTTGGTTGTTATAAGCATATCCTATAAAGCAGCTTATTCTGGTAGAATAGTGTAATCTGGACTTTTATCAGTGCGGAAAGAGAGGAATAATATATTACATATATATATAATATATATGTAATATAATAATAATAATAATACCTTGTGTGATCCAGGTCCTCCAGGAACAGGAAAGACCACCAGCATCCTGTGTTTGTCCAGAGCTCTGCTGGGAGCCTCCATGAAGGACGCCGTGCTGGAGCTCAACGCCTCCAACGAGAGGTGAGACATGAATAAATATAAAAACACGACGATGTTAAGACACCAGGACGTGGACCTGGACCTCAGGTTATTGGTGTTTGATGAATGTGACCTCGTCTGCAGAGGGATCGACGTGGTGAGGAACAAGATCAAGATGTTCGCTCAGCAGAAAGTGACGCTGCCTAAAGGACGACACAAGATCATCATCCTGGACGAAGCCGACAGGTGAGACCACGGGAGGAACTTTAGAACCAGAGAACCAGGCTTTTTATGTGTTAGGAAGTTAAACATCATAATTCATCTCTAATATCTATTTATATTCATGTGAATACATCTCCTTCAAACTACTGGATTTATTCAAGTTTATCACCAAAACTACATTTTACAGATGACATGTGAACACATCATGATAACGTTATAATGTACCTTCAGCCAGTACTCATGTTCACTGAGCAGAGCCTGAAGGCATCATAATGTAACTGAAGTGAACCTCCTGTTGGTTAGCCGTTAGCGGTGCTGCTAACGTTACTAGCTCT